TCCCAGAGACACAATTTTGAGGGTTTATGGGGTTCTATAACCTCAAGATTTAGTGCTTGCTATCACATGCTCAATAAGCATTTGATGGGTTGCTGAATGAATATGCTGTTCTATTGTTTTACTCACTTCCAAATGGTAAGAATCAAAGGGAAGAAGGTGAAAATGATTCGAGCCCCAAGGACTCAGGGCAGAATAATTCTTAGTCCCCTCTAGACCACAAGCTGGAGAAGTGATGGAATTTATTCATCCACTCATTCATTCACACCACAACACAGAGAGATAAGCACAATGCTAGGGATTGGCAGTGGCGGCTGTGGGAACACACAGGAGGAGATAATTAACTAAGTTTGGGGATGAAGGAGGCCAGGGATGTCTTCCTGGAGGCGAGCCTGAAGGGCTCTTGGGGGAACAGACCTTAGGGCTCTAGTCCTCATGCCATTTTTCCAGCCTCAAGAGTCATGCTTGGGGCTTCTTGGAATCCACAGTCAGCTTCAATCTGATGGTTGTGGCTCCCTGGCCTCAACAGAACCCATCTTGCTCCCCACCTTTTACCCCAACCACTCCCTCCGTTCCTCCTTGCTATCAGCTGCTTGTTAGCCTTCTCACACCCTAAGAATATATCTGCATTCTCCAGACTGAAAAGACTCAAAGGAACAAGGCTCTAATGGCAAAATTCCAAGCAGAATGACAAATAAATGGGAAGCCATCTGAGAGCAAGAGGGCCCTGCCCAAGCTCCCCCCAACCCCCCACAATGCCTTTCTCAGACCAGCCACTCACCTTCATCCTCCCAGCACTACCTGCAAGCCAGCCCCTCTGCCCTCTGCAAACTGGAGCACGACTGGGGCTTTCAATGGGAGAAAAATGCTTCATCATGTTCTGCTGCTTCATGCAAAACAGAAACTCCCTTCCCCCTCTTCCATCCTCCCCAGCGCACTCTCCTTCCAGTAAAACGTAGTTAAAGGGACAGCACCATCACTTCCCCAGCTCTAAGAGTTTGCTTAGAACCATGGCGCTGGAAGGCAAAGGGCAAAGAGAAAGGAGCTAGCGGAGATGTTTCCTGGGGGGGGGGGGGG